GTTGTCGAAGTACTTTGTCGTGCCGATCTTCCACAAGATCAAGGCCCGCGCCGCCGCCGCAGGGCTCACTTCGGCGGCGAGCGAGGTTCGAGTTCGAGGTTCGAGGTTTTCGGACGTTTTCGTTGGTTCTCGTCGGTTTTGCAGCCTCGGGGGACTTGCCAGCAGCTGCGCCTCGCCGAGGGTGTTCCAGGGGTGCTTGGATCGTCCCGAACGGCTGCCAGAGACCCGAGCTAATATGACCCCCAAACAAAGCTCGGCGGCGAGCGAGAGGGGCGAAGTGAGCAGGGGAAGGCCTCCTCAGAAGGCGGTGGGACTTCTTAGAAGCCCTCGCGCCTCCTGGAAAGTCCTCTGCGCCCTCGGGGAAGGCTCAGAGAGCTTCTCAGGAGGCCGGGGGACTTCCGAGCCTTCCGAGAAGGCCCGCCCCTTCTCGCTTCCCCCCCTGGGCTCGCCGCCGACCGCTGCGACCTCGGCGCCGCAGGGCGGGCAACGCTTCTTCGGTCCGCGGCGCGGGCGGTCGCCGACGCGTTCGAGTCGCCCGCGGGCCGCGCCGCGCCGTGGGGCACGCCAAGGCAGCCAGAGAGGAGGGGGGCTCGGGCGGAGGCGGCCACGCGCAGAGTGTGTGTGTGTGTGTGTGTGAGTCAGGAGGGGAAACAACACACAGACACAATTAGTCGTCGGTCCCCCAGAAAGTATGTGAAAATATGGAAAGTGAGGGTGGGACGACAAAACCCCAGAAAATATGGGAACATGTGGAGAGTCCTGCTGTTTGTGTCTTTTTATTTGTGTGTCTCAGGGCCCCTTCAGTGCAGACCGCCCGATGACCATCGGGCCGTGAGAGGGAAAATGACGCCTTTATTCTCTCTCTCTCTCTCTCGTCTCATCCTCTACCAACGGGTTCGACGGTAGGTTCGACCCTTCGGCTCGCGACCTCCGTTCGCAGAGGGGGGAGCGGGGGAGGGGGGAAGGCTTCTCGGAAGCGCCCTTGCTTCTGAGAGGGCGCGGGCCTTGTCCGTAGATGCAGGGCCGGCGCCTTTGAGTAGCAGCCTCCTTCTGAGAAGCCTCCCCCCCTCCCCCTACCCCCTTGTGCGCGCCGCCAACCGACGCAGGGCCCACTGCGATCTCGATCGGTCCGGCTCGATCTCGAGACCGCCAGGCTCGATCCGAGTCGATTCCGACGTCCCGACGATCCTCGGCGGAGGCACGGGTCCTGGCATCGCTCGGACTCGTGCCTTTTTTCTTGTGAGGACCGTCGGGGAGCATCCTGGATCATCGAGCAAATAATCGGGGGTTGCCACAGGTGCCCTTTGCCCAGGGTGCCCCCAGCTTTTAGCTCCCTTTTGGAGCCCCTGGTGCCCTCTGGGCTTTGTGAGGGGTGCTCTGGATTCCGTGGGGGGCCTTCTTGGAAATCCTAGGGGCACGTGGGGCCAGGGGCACCTCCCGCAGCACCCGGAAACAAACATCAACACGCGCGGAAACGAGCATGCACGGGGAATGGACGTTTGAGCGATGGCAAGGGGCGGACACAGGAGCCCAGGGGCGGGCGTGGCACGAGTCCGCCGGGGCGGGGGCCTCGCCGAAGGCGTGGGCGGACGGAGGCCCCGGACGCATGCCTTGGGAGGGAAACAGCACACGGACACACGTAATCTTAAGGCGGGCAAGTCCCTCGTCTACAGGAGGAATATTCAAGAATAGGGACAAATAGTCAGGTGACAATTTTTCGTGCTCCTTTGACCACTTTTGAGTATTTTTCTTCCATAGCCCGCCTGTAGGAGGACGTGCCCGACCTAAACGTAATCGCCGATCCCCAGAAACATATGGGAACTACGGGATGTTTCGGTGGCCAGTCATGGGAGCCCGGTGTAACCTCTTAATTATGTCTTTGGTGTCGACTAGCGTCTGGATTCGATGAGGTAGCTCCGATTCATAGTCGGTTAGGGTCGGTCGAGTACCGTGGGTTTAGCGTCGATTAGCGTCGATTAGCGTCGATTCGCAAGAGCCGACAAGATGGTATGGGAGGCTCCCACGAGTTGCCACCGAAGGGGGTGGAGGAGGAGACGACACCCCAGAACATGCGGAAGAGAAGGGGACCTGCGTCTACTTGTTATCTGTGTGTTCCTGGGCCCCTTCAGCACTCGCTGGGGGAGCCCCGTCGAGAACGTGGGCGGCCAGGGCGCCCCCAGATGCGCGCAATCGGTGCTCCCCCCTGGGCTGTCCGCCCCCTCAATTCTGTGGCCGCCGACGTGTGCCCGACGGTCCGATGCTCGAGGACGCGGGACGTGGAGTGAGTGGAGGAGGTCTCGGCGGCGAGCCCGGGACAAACGTGAGGAGGAGGAGGAGGGATGATGATGATGATGATGATGATGATGATGATGATGATGATGATGATGATGATGATGATGATGATGAT